CAGATAGAACATTTGGTTTTTGATCTCATGGTCTTAGTTATTCAAAACAGCCAAAAAAGCCAGACAACGTTTGTAAGTCTAAGGTAGCATAATGTCGAGTCGTGTCAAAATTCAAATAGGAGGTCTCGCCCCTTAAATGACCTAATTTTCGTCCCCGTCGTTTTACGCAAGAAAAGTTTTGACTTTATGCAAACTGAGCCCAAAGATGGGAATTTATGCCTTTCTTTTATTTTTCACATGAATTGAGTAGGGAAAATGGTCGGAAATTGTCAAAAAAAGGACCAATTTTTGTTAAATTTGCCGGGGGGCATAAAACCACGGGAACAGCCTAATAGTGTTGATAGGGGCGTTAAATCCATACCGTTTTGGTTTTAAAAATCAAATTCTAATAGAGTTGAAAATTTTTCAGAAAAGCCCCCTTTGGGGGGGGAGGGGTGGGGGTTTTTAAAAAGTAGCTTTCCCCCCTTTTTCCTTGGGTAGGGTTTTGGGGGGGGGGGGGGGGGGGTTTTTTTGACAAAGTTTTTTTGTTTTTTGGAGGGGAAGGCGGTTAGGTTATTTGGGGGGAGTTTTTTTGTGTTTTTTTGGGGGGGGGGGGGGGGGATGCGGTTAGGTTATTTTTCTTTTCTTTTTTTTTTTCATTCCCTCCCCCAGGAACACTTATTAATTTGTGACAATGAAATATCGCTGGAGGTAAAATGAGACCTATGGAAATTGATTTTCCAAGGCACATGTCGTTCATCCTATACTGAAAGATATCAGCTTCTTCTGCTCTCTCTTTCTCTCTCTCTCTCTCTCTCTTTCTCTCTCTCTCTCTCTCTCTCTCTCTCTCTCTCTCTCTCTCTCTCTCTCTCTCTCTCTCTCTCTCTCTCTCTCTCTCTCTCTCTCTCTCTCTCATGCTCCTCCTAGTACTTTCACAACTTCTTCTGTGACGAAATGAAAACTTGTACGTGAAAGCCGATGCTTTGGCTTGAAGGGAGGAGGAAACTGAATCTGGACGGTCTGAGAAACGAAGGAGAAAAACTGAGAAGGTCAATTCACTTCCTTTGAATTACAAAGCTCTATCTGACATCCTTGGCCGTGTAAAGTTTCTAAGACCATGAGGAGTGGGTGGTTGGTGGGTGCTCTGGTTTGGTTTGCTCCTTCTTTCCTATCAAACATCTATCGTCCTTTTCTCCCCTCCTTCTTTTTTATGTTTGTTACTCTCTTGTAACACCTCTAATCTTTGGTACTTATATGACCTTATTGTGTTGCAAGTGCCGTAAAACTCTTACAAAAACAAAAAGAAGACCATGAGGTCAGAAACCAAATGCTGTATCTGCTCTTTTTTTTTTTATAGTAGAGGGTTTTACGGCGCTTGCAACTGCATAAGGTCATATGAGCGCCATTATCTGCTCTGTCAAATTGATAACCTTATTCGGAGTAATTTTTCAAGATATTCAAAGAATTGCATAAATTGTAAAAGTTTGACATGTTGTGAAACTCAACATAATTTCTTACACATCAAATTTCTCAAAACTAGGTACTTGAGCGAATAGAATTTTGTAATCCTAGAGTTGCGAACTGTCAGAATAGGTGGAATACTCAGGTGTTTTTTTCTGTCAGCGTAAACCGCCATTTTTTTGTCCTGAGGCGTTTCAAAGGCAATCTGGAAAGGTTACCTTGAACGGAGTCCTGTCAGTGGAAATGCCACCGGATAGAGACCGATCGAATTTGTTTTTGTCAGTGTATTGTTTACCTTTTTTAACAAGACTTCATAATAATTAAAATAGAAATAAGAAGAAATAGAAGGAGAAGAAGAAGGAGAAGAAGGAGAAGAAGAAGAAGAAGAAGAAGAAGAAGAAGAAGAAGAAGAAGAAAAATTGTAACATTAATAATAAAAGTATTGTGCATGTGTGTGGGGGGGTCGTTTTTTTAAAAAGTGGTCTCCCAATTCTGTTGTATTAAATGATCTTTTTGCATTGTACGGCGCCTAGTGCTTTCTTGAGATTAATTTCTAAATCCTCATTATAAGTATTAAAAAGTGAGGCAGCGTGGTGAAATCAGGCGCTCGGCAAAATAACGAAATCGGAGAAACAGGCAGTTTGGAAATTTTTAGCGAATTTCTATTTTTAGGCTTAACCTCTTTTATGTCCATATAAAAACACATTTCCTTGTGAATTTTACTGAAAAACATTGATGAAAGGCACAAAATGTGCCATTTTTCAGTTTTTATAGACTCTTTAGCTACTGGAGTTACCAAAATTTGATGGCCATTTTCTCGTTAATTTCAACTCTGAAATCAGGCGACCTCCCCTCGTTCAGTCGCAAAAATCTTGAGTTCTATTCAAGACGAATGGATGTTTATTTCATTGGAAGTAAGGCAAAAAAAATCAGCTTTGAGATGATACCAATAACTTCACATGCCCAAAAATTGACAAGCACCCGTTTCCACTGCGTCGTGACACATATTATTATCATCATTATCATTGTAAACAGGAAGGAATAAGAAAGGGTTGAGACTAGTAGAATTTCCAGAAATTTTTTTTTAAGTTCAACGTTTCGCCCGATCAAGGGCTTCATCAGGAACATACAAAAAAGATAATGTTAGATCTAATAGCATCATTATCATCATCGTCATCATCATCATCATCATCATCACTATTACCATTATTATTATTGTTAACATTATCATTATTATCATCTTTATTATTATTGTTGTTGTTGCTGTTATAATGATTATGTTATGTCATTATTGTTGTTGTTATTGTTGTTATAATGATTGTTCTTTTATTGTTGTTGTTGTTGTTATAATGATGGTTATGTTATTACTGTTGTTGTTGTTATAATCTGGCGCTCATATGACCTTATGCAGTTGCGAGTGCCATAAAACCTCTACTAAAACTAAAACGTTGTTATAATGATTGTTCTGTTATTGTTGTTGTTGTTGTTATAATGATTGTCCACCCCACGGGGCAGTGCCACTCACTGTAGTGTTTTTAGGCCATTCCCAAAGGGGGGACATTTCTCGTTCAAGCATAGTAGAATTGTAAATGGGCTGACTCATGTCACGCTCATAACTGTGCCTGGTCTACAACAGGGAACTGCTGCTTTTTCTTTCCTAATCCTTACTATTGTCATTTTCCTCTACTTCTTTTGTATGTTTGTCACACTCTTGTGACCCGCTACTTCCGGGGTGCCTTGATAGTCGAAGCAGACTTTGTGTTGTTGAAGCTAGAGAGGTGAGCAGAGTAAGTCTGATTCCCTGTAAAGACGTCTCTGTTGACACCCACCCCTTGGCGCTCATATGACCTTATGCAGTTGCGAGCGCCGCAAAACCCTCAACTATAAAAAAAAAAGTTCTGTTTATTATTGTTGTTGTAGTTGTTGTTATAACGATCGTTCTGTTTGGACAGGTGTCCTACTTCATCGAGAACTTCACCCGCGGCCACTCTTCCACCATCCCCACCCTCCACGCTCGCCTCTGTGATATACGGCAGAAGTTCGAATCCATTCCGTTCTTCAGGTCCCACGAGGTAAGCCCTTTCTCTGCTTCTCTTCTCTCTCTCTCTCGCAGTGTTTCACTGCCACTCTCTTTCTCTCTCTCTCTTTGTCTTTGTCTCTCTCTTTGTCTGTCTCTTTGTCTGTTTCTGTGTCGCTCTCTTTCACTCTCTCTCTCTCTCTCTCTCTCTCTCTCTCTCTCTCTCTCTCTCTCTCTCTCTCTCCGTCTCCCTTTGTCTGTCTCTCTCTCTGTCTCTGCCTTTGTCTGTCTCTCTCTCTGTCTCTGCCTCTGTCTATCACTCTCTATCTCTCTGTCTCTCTCTCTCTCTCTCCCTCTCTTTGTCTCTCTCTCTCTCCCTCTCTTTGTCTCTCTCTCTCTCTCTCCCTCTCTTTGTCTCTCTCTCTCTCTCTCTCTTTGTCTCTCTCTCTCTCCCTCTCTTTGTCTCTCTCTCTCTCTCTCCCTCTCTTTGTCTCTCTCTCTCTCTCTCTCTCTCTCTCCCTCTCTTTGTCTCTCTCTCTCTCTCTCTCTCTCTCTCTCTCTCTCTCTCTCTCTCTCTCTCTCTCTTCTCCCCTCACTGCTTACTATCTACATTAGCACAGATGAAATTAATTCTTTATTCAAAAGCCATAATATTACGTTTCCTCTATTAATGTTGAGTACCTTTAGGCCATTCCCAAAGGGGGGTGTAGCATCGGGGTATAGTGGTTAGGCTACCGGACTGCTGATCGTGAGGTTGCTAGTTCGGGGGTTCGAACCTCAGCTCGGTCCGACGTTGTGTCCTTGGGAAAGACACTTTACCCGAACTTCCTACTTGGCTCGGTCCTATCGCAGACGGAGGAAAACTAGGAGGTCCCGCCCCTTAAATAACCTAATAGTGTTGATAGTTGCGTTAAACCCATACCATTTCACCATTTTTGAAAGGGGGGACATTAACATTAACATATTCTTATGCTCAGTAGAATTGTGAATGGGCTGATTTTTCAATGTCATGCTCATACTGTGCTTGAACTGCACACATGGAACTGCTGCTTTTCTTTCCTCTTTCATTCTCTTGAGCTGACATTTGATGTGGGTGGTTGGCGGATGCTCTGGTGTGATTTGCTTCTTCTTTCCTATCAAACATCTATCGTCCTTTTCTCCCCTCCTTCTTTTTTGTGTTTGTTACATTCTTGTAACACCTCTAATCTTGGGCACTTATATGACTTTATTGTGTTGCAAGTTCTGTAAAACTCTTAACAAAAAAATTTTTAACATCTGCCATATCGTCTTTTTCTCCCCTCCTTCTTTTTTGTGTTTGTTACTCTCTTGTAACACTTCTAATCTTCGGCATTTATATGACCTTATTGTGTTGCAAGTGCCGTAAAACACTTACTGAAACCTTTTTAAAATATGGAGATATGACAAGAATGCGCTGGGGCCGCGCTATCTTGTCTTAACAGATTAATTGGTCGCTTTTAAGGACACACGGGCTAACCCAGATTTCCGGGGTTTCCAGACATCTTGACTTACGCCAAAAGTGGGCATTGCCCTACCTATAGGAGAAGTTTGATTTCATTTGTGTGTATATTTGTTTGGTTATAAAGACTCTCTTTGTTTTTTAAAGAAACTGAACAAGGGGCAAAAACTTTACCTTCGATTCTCTCAAAACAGCTTTATTCGGAATAGCCCCCTTGTGATTAAAACGACCATATGAACATTCTCATGATCTGACAATTTTCTCTGTTGTGACCGTGGCTCAGATCATCGGGAGCAGTCTTCTCATCATGTACGACAGCTCCAACCACGCCAGCGCCTGGATGATCGACTTTGCTAAAACTATACCGGTACCTGACGTCACGCTCAACCACAGGTGAGACACGGGGTGGTGGGTGGGTGGTCGGGTGGATGATTGACTTGGCTAAAACTATACTGGTACCTGATGTCACGCTCAACCACAGGTGAGACACGGGCGAGTGGGTGGGGCGGTGGGGTGGTGTGCTAAAACTATATCGGTACCAGTGGTGTCGGTGACCTAGTGGTTAGGCTACAGGACTCGTAATTGTGGGGTTGCGAGTTCGGGGATCGGAATCGCGGGCCCGACGTTGTGTCCTTAGGAAAGGCACTTTTCACAGATTTTCCTCACTTCACCCAGGTGAGAATGGGTACTAAAACTTGACCGGTACCAGGCGTCATGCTCAACCACAGGTGGGTCAGGGGGTGGTGGGGTGGGTGGGTGGTTTGCTAAAACTTGACCGGTACCAGACGTCATGCTCAACCACAGGTGGGTCAGGGGGTGATGGGGTGGGTGGGTGGTTTGCTAAAACTTAACCGGTACCAGACGTCGCACTCAACCACAGATGAGGCATGGGCGCGTGGGGTGGTGAGGTGGGTAAGTGGTTGGCGGGTGCTCTTGTTGAGATGAGAAATGGGCAATATAATGCAATAAATTATTTTTATAGTTATTACTTTTATCGTTATCGTTATCGTTATCGTTATTGTTATTGTATTATTATTTTTAGTATTATTGTTAGTATTATAATTTTTAAATTATTTTTATTATTATTGTTATTATTATTTTTATTATTACTACAACTATTATGAGTGGGTGGTTGGCGGGTGCTCTGGTGTGGTTAGCTTCTTCTTTCCTATGAAACATCTATCATCCTTATCTCCCCTTCTTCTTTTTTATGTTTGTTACTCTCTTGTAACACCTCTAATCTTCTGGCGCTCATATGACCTTATGCAGTTGCGAGCGTCGTAAAACCTCTACTAAAACTAAAAACTGCAACTATTGTTATTATTACTTTTATTAATATTAGTGGGTGGTTGGAGAGTGCTCTGGTGCAGTGTGCCCTATTGACCAGTATTGAAATGAAATTTGTGTTTCCCCTATGGCCAGGTCTCCGTGGAAGTTGGAGAATCATGAAGACGGATACTTGTACGGGCTGGACCATCTTATTGAGGTCAGTGGGTCATCGTTGTTGTCGTAGCAACGCGTTTTGTTTGCGGTTCGGATTGTTTTTGTCACTGTGTCTGTGTGTGTGTGTGTGTTTGTGTGTGTCTGGTTGTTGTTGTCGCATTGTGTTTCGTCCAGTGTACTTTTGTCTTACTGTGTGTGTTTTTGGTTATAGCGAGTGCTCTGGTGCGGTTTGTTCCTTCTTTCCTATCAAACATCTTTCCTCCTTATGTCTACTCCTTCTTTTCTCTGTGTGTTACTCTCTGCTACCTCCCCCCCCCCCCCCCCTCCCAAGGGCAGTGCCACTGACTGAAGTGTCTTTAAGCCATTCCCAAAAGGGGGATATTAACATGTTCTTATGCACAGTAGAATTGTAAATAGACTGATTCATCAATGTCATGCACATACCGTGCCGGTACAACATAGGGGGAACTCCTGCTTTTTCTTTCCTCATCCTTACTATCGCCATTTTTCCTCTACTTCTTTTGTATGTCTGTCACACTCTTGTGAGCTGCCATTCCCGAGGTGCCTTGATAGTCGAAGCAGACTTTGTGTTATTGAGGCTAGAAAGGTGAGCAGAGTAAGCCTGATTCCCTGTTTAGACTTCTCTGTTGACATCCACCCCTTGGTGCTCGTATGACCTTATGCATTTGCGAGCGCCGTAAAGCCTTACTAAAACTAAGAACTCTCTGGAAACACCTCTACTCCTCAATTCTTTTACGACGTAACTGTTTTGCAATGCCGTAAAGACTTACTAAAGCTAACGCTGTTTATGTTGTATGTAAGTCCTCCAGTTTGTTTTTGTCACACTGTGCGTCATTTAGTTTGGTTTCATCCAATTGTTTGTTCCTATTGCCTGCGTGTCATTTGTCATAGTACAGTGAAACAACCACTTGTGGGTGGTTTGTGAGTGCTCTGGTGTAGTTTGCTCCTTCTTTCCTATCAAACATCTATCGTCTCTATCTCCCCTCTTTTTTTTATGTTTGTTACTCTCTTGTAACACCTCTAATCTTCTGGCGCTCGTATAACTTTATGCAGTTATGAGCGCCGTAAAACCTCTACTAAAACTAACAAAAGTCTTTTGTGACATCTCTTATCTTCTGGCGCTCAGTTGCGAGTGCCGTAAAACCTGTACTAAAACAAACAACATGACTCCCTTCTTCATTGCAGATTTTTGGTGGTCTGGCAGACAAGGAGAAGAAAGCACAGTCACAGAATGAGAAAAACGACGTGGACTCGAGAGACCCCAGTTGACTTTTTGAAACAACCGGTGTCAGCACCATGGAGTGACAGATGAGACGGGAGAGAGAGAGAGAGAGAGAGAGAGAGAGAGAGAGAGAGAGAGAGAGAGAGAGAGAGAGAGAGAGAGAGAGAGAGAGAGAGAGAGAGAGAGAGAGAGAGAGAGAGAGAGAGAGAGAGAGAGAGAGAGAGAGAGAGAGAGAGAGAGAGAGAGAGAGAGAGAGAGAGAGAGAGAGGGAAAAAGAGAGAGAGAGAGAGAAAGAGAAAAAGAGAGAGAGAGAGAGCAAGAGAGACTGGAGAAAGAGAGAGGAAAAGAGAGAAAGACAG